ATTCTTTAGAGTACAGACTATTCAACTATAATTTGCTTTTCTTATGTGATTTAGAGCTTTTTTAATTATGTATATATGTGTATGTGAGAATATGCACAAACGAAAGTGAATGGAAGTACTGCAGAAACTAGAACAAGGAACCAATTTCTCTGGAGCTAGACTAGAGATAGTGGTAAACAACTTGACATGGCTGAGTATCTAACTTGGGTCCTCTGCAAGAGTAATATGTTCTCTGTCATAGCTTTTGACTGCTTAACACTAATATCTGGAAGGAGGGCATATCCATTGAATGATTGCCTCCATCAGGTTGAATTTTGGCCTTGTCTAGAAGACATTTTCTTAATTGATGACTCCCTCTATGATGGACTATGACACAGGATCTGTAAGTCAAATAAACCCCTTCCTCCCACAAGTTAGTTTTAATCAGTGTTTATCACAGCAATTGGAAGCAAACTGGGACATGCTCTTTACCACTGAGCAGTCTTTCTATGTTCCTACCATTTCTAGATAATCATTTTCCATATATTGACAGAGAATTGCATAGGAAACTATCCCAATTTTCACAGAAGAAAATGTACAATTTAAAAAACGAATACAAAAATTTGACAATGCATCAGAGAATTTACATTGGTTGGTGATACCCACAGAATACTTGAGAGCAAAAACTTGCAGGTTTACAGAATTGATCCATACCTACTTGATAGAGGAAAACAAGACAATGTGATTTTTTTCCTGATAGTTTGCTTCTATAATATCAGAGAAAAACAAAGGAGAGTGAAATTTATTTCCAAATATATGAGGTGTCTTTGGCGTTGTCTGTTTTAGTTCTCTCGGAAGGACACTTGCTTGTGATGTGAACCCAGTTAGAGAACAGCTGTGATGCGATGATTAATCACAGTGGAAAATGTCTATTAGTGAACAAATTTACATATGTAGAATAATTCCTTTAAACACTAATTTAGGCCATTCTCCATCATATCATAAAATTTTCTATTTTTCTTCATTCCACCTCTTGTTAAGTGTAATCTTGTCTTTAAATTTGATCTTAAATCATAGGTCATATCAAAGGTAGAGAACCTGCGAGAAGTGATCGTGAAAAAGTAGGTTGTGGAAAAAGTCCTAAGAATGGACAGGCAAGATAAACCGTATTTTTTAAGGCAAAGCAAAAACTTTTAAATTTTTGCTGAGCAGCTTACAATTCAGATCATATATATTTTCTCTCAGATTTGGAAAGGAAGCCACTGCAATGGCAGTTTGCACAAACACTGTTACTTTGATTTCACTTTAGGCACCTGGGAATTCATCTCTTTTTCTCTTTTGCCTGGGGATATTTCGAAAGGCAACTCTGGTGATACCTTGTGAAGCACTTGTTTGCATTTAGAACATGAAGTGTGCAGTTCAGCACAGTTCAGTGTGCTCAGAGTGATCTCTCCAAAATGTCTCTTAACTGCACATTTGATAGCCACTGTGAAGAAAAGCTTACTACGAAAAAGGGGTGTCAGTATACTTTTGGTGGGTGAGGTAACTGCTGGGTACAAACGTTCTCCTGAATATATATTTTGAAGGCAAACCTGAAGGTAGGGAAGAGGCCATTTTTGTGCAGACAACACATATGTAAGGCTCTGAAGCAGGGTAGAGTTCGCACTTCTCAGGGGTCCTAGTGTGACTTGGTCAAGAGCAAGGATGAGAGGAGATGTAAGGCAAGATGTGGAAAAGCAGTTGCTGCACCAGGACAAATTTGTAAATTATGCCGAATTTTTATAATCTACCTTCAATTTTCTGCATCATAGGTTCTGGGAAAATAATTAGTTGGATATGCATTTTTATGTAAAGGTGAAGCATTAAGTTTTTACATTTCTCACACTGATAGTTCCTGTGTATATTGATGCTGACCGTCACTCTTCTGAATGGTTACGGCACACTGCTTATATTTAATAACTGTCAGTTGCATAGGGGTAAATTGTGAAAATACTCATGTTTTTGCTCTGTGGTGAGAAAATATTGTCTAATGCATCTATACTTTGTGTCAAGTCAATACATTTTCTGTTAAACTTATCTGTCCTACTGAAAATATATTTACATTAGAAAGGTTGATAAAAAATAAATTCTTATCTCACATGGCATCCCAGTGGCAAAATTATGAAGCCAACTCACTACAGTAAATTAAAGTTAAAAGTTTTAAGTACCAGTTCATACTCTCAAATCCTCTGGCCTTTTAGAATATTGTCACTACATTTATTATTAATTATTTCAGTTGTTATTTTTATGGGAACGCAGTTATTTTCATTATGGACTGAGAACGGTCCATAAGTCTCAACTCAGTCTTACATAAATATAACTAAAATTTAAATTAGTTATTATTAGCCATTCTAGGCATCAAAGAATATGTGGCTGCTATCATACAGTGCTACAAATAATCCTAGAGGTGATCTGAGTGAGTGTTGAATAGCGCAGGCTTTGTTTTGCTGTTTTGTGGTGGTGTTGATGATTAATGCACCATGGAACCAAAAAATCAGAAGCTAGTCAACAGTCGTTGTCAGCCCCCAGCACAGGAGCTGCTTTGCCCTTTGAGCCTTGGCCACTTCTGATCAGAACAGCACCGGGGCATCCAGTCTAGCCAGCTAGAGAGAGCTAGGACTTCATGTGAGAATGTTTTGTGCTTTTTTTTTTTTTTTATCATAGAAACACTTTCATCATAGACATGTGATGCTTTATGTACAATGATGTTCTGTTATTAAAAAGCCATTAATATTACAATACTGACCATGAAGTTGACAGTTATGAAATGTAAGCCATGTGGCCTAACCATTCGGAAGAATGACGACCGGCATGCAAGTGTAGGAATGAGCAGTGTAAGATGTCCTCCTGAGGACCAGGGCAGCTACTGGTCTTGCTGCTAACAGACTCCACCTAATTTATATTCATTGGGCACTTGGAGTAGGTTCACTTTTTCTTGTCCATGTAAAATGTCTCAGGAAATTCTCATTTGTAATTATCATTTGGACTCAGTTACTAAGGAGTGCAAAGCTGAGAAGATCCTCCTAACTCAATGACAACACCCAATTGTCACAACTTCAGCCACTATCACTTTCCTGGGAGTGTGAATTTTCACAACAATTGAGGGGGAAAATGCCAGCATTTTCCCTTCCAACTGCTGAAGTATAAAACACATGTTAATTTTATCTTTTGTGTGTATTTTTGTATCTATCTAGCCCATCTTAGCTACTTGTCAGTTGCAGAGATCTTTAGTTTTCATGTGTGGGCATACATACACATTCATGTATAAATACACATATACATACACACATATGTGTGTGTGTGTGTGTGTGTGTGTGTGTGTGTGTGTGTGTTCTGAACTGCATGACATAAGTACTAGGAACCTATGTTGGGAAGGTACAAAGCACTGCCAAAGTGTAATATTTTCTTGGATACTTAAGTAATTTAAAATCTGAATTGTTTGATTTTGTATTACCTTTTTTTTATATTCCTAAGTACAAATTACAAATTCCCTTTAAAGGAAGACAAGAAAGTTCTTACTATTATAACTCTGTATCTGTAGTTCAGTGAGCACGGATAACATGTTTGGAGACTCCTGTCCCACTGCCATGCTGTGACACATATCATGTGTGTCAATATACTCCAGTTTAAACAAGTTGGGAGTCGATACAGCCTCAGTTTACTGTACGTCTGAGGAAGCGGAGGGAGGAGTAAGCAGCTCTGGAATTAGAGCTAAGTGTGAGCTTTCTCCAGATAGCCATGCAGTACATGGGCATGTAAACATAGCTGATACTTCCAGAGTTTGCACGCCTCTCTCTCAGAGTCTTGTAAGGAGTATTTATTTTGTTACTAGACTGTTATCCACCCCCTAAAATGTCTTTTACCAGTTTAAAAAAGTTTTCCATGCAGAATGTGCTTGATCCTTTCCTCTACCCTGCCATGTTCTGCAGGTGGGTCCCGAGACTAGACTGAGGGACCAGGGGGAACTACAGAAGCATGACATTAACAGGTGTGTCTTAGTGCACTGGAAGCTCTCATAGAGGAGTGCCTCGAAGGACAGTTAGCACTCAAACCACTGGGCAGCTTAACCAAAGAAGGGTCAATTATAGAACTAACCAGATCAGGAAAGTGACTGCAGCTTTTGGAAGGCAAGTTATGGGATGGAAATAAATGAGAAAATTAATGACGACAAGGCTTAGTGAGCATGGCTTGTTAGAGTTATCTGCTGTGTCTCAAGACTAGGGCATCAAGAACTGTCTTCTGAAGTCAGAACCTATCTCTCTGGTAGAGAAAGGAAAAGGAAGCTTTGGAAACCTGCATCTGATTTTAGGCAAATGTGTTGTGTGGTGCCAGGTTGGGTAAGTGGTGGGGGTGGGGGGTGAGGGAATGTGGGTGGGGATGCGAGGAGCAAAGGACTTTTTTTTAATATTCCTTTTGTCAATTGTCTTCAGGTAAAATAGGCCTCATGCCAGACTGATAGTTTTTTAAGGTATGACATAGTCTTCTTCCTTTCCATGCTAATGCCACTGTGGAATTACACATTTTTCCTTATGCCACAGTTTTAACATAAAATCCTACATATGCTGCCTTTCTGACTAAAATTGTTATTGGTTGCTTTAGAAATTTAAGTCAGAAGCGATTAAACTGATTTTTTTATGATTTTGCCTCTGAATATTCCCATTCAAGTTAATGTAAGCACATCATTAGAAACTTCACATACAAAAATTTGTCTTCTAGTGTCTCAACATTCATAAGTGGTTCCATGTATAAATGAAGTACTAATTGGGGAAATACCATAATCTAAAATTGTAATTATCATTGAATTTTAACACAAAATATGTAATTGATAATTTCCTCTGAAGGTCTGAGTATTTCAAGGACTATTTCATAGAAATAACAAAGATCACAGGAAGGCTTTAGTGCTATATTAACATTGATTGACAATGGAGGAAATGCTGCTTTAAGCACACCACATTGTAATTTTTTATCTTGTTTCTTCTTAGGAGCCTTTCCCTGAAAATAACAAAAGACACTGATCAAGAAGCCTGGTGTTCCCATGTCGGCCGCATGCCCAACAGTCCCTCTGCAGATTGGCCCCTGCTGGGTGTGGAGGAAAATGGAGGCATAGATTCTCTGCCGTTCAGATTGATGCTCCAGGAGTGCACAGCAGTGAAGACGCTGCTACTGAAGATGAAGAGAGTGCTTCAAGAGGTAAGGCTGCTCCGAAAATAACCCTTGTCGTTGATGGTCTGAACGACACCTGTAGGCTTGCTTATACCCTGCCGATTGCTAATTAACTTCCAGGCAATGATCCAATGAGCGTAGGTCAGGTGTCCTCCTGAGCCTAAGTTTTCCTCATATGTCAAATGAATAACTTCAGGTCCTGTTGTATAAATAGAAACTCAGAAACTCACCCATGCCCAGACTCTAGGAAAAAGGAAGTTGAGGTCAAACCTTCCCAAATCTCTCAAGCTAGGAGAAATTGGCATCAGCTATGCAGTAATCCATTTATGTCACTGGCAAGGGGCTGAGAAATCTGAGTTTTCTTCACCTTCTTTTTAGGGTGGCCTTATCTATATACCGTTATAAAGGCAGCCCTCTGACAGCCTTATGATAGTTTTAACACTTGCTGGTTTTATGTGATCAAAATGTCATGTAACGTCTCTACATCTTTCTCGGTTACATTAATCAGCCACGTGGGACTATCTATGCCTAAGAAACTAGAAAACACAGTATATTGAGACTTTCAAATTTTTTGAAATTTTTTGATTGGCCAAATACCATTTAAATTTTTACTAGCATGCCACTTCATGCACAACTATAACAATCCCTGTATTGTTGATATGGCTGTTTTTCTGTGTGTCAGTGTACAAGTTGTAATCTTCCTAGGCTCTGTATTATCCTGCAATATGGTCCTCTGTGAACAACTATAACTTAATAAAATCTGTTGTATTAAAAGCTATTAATCTCAAAGTTTATAACACTTAACTCTTCTACTACACCTCTTGCTTCTTGGGATTTTATTAAGAAATCAATACCTGTGAAAATAAAGAGGGAGGAAACGGCAAGGTGTGTCACCTAACTTTCTGGGGTACTGAAATTTATGATTCTAAATACCTACGATTGCTATTGTGCAGTAACTACTGTGAATTACAGGAGAATGTTTCCATACTTCTGTCTGTGTTCCTGTTTAAACAGAAATGAAATGGAATCGATCCTCACAGGTGCTGTGTGGCAAGCAGTAATTGCATGTTCGTGCAGACTTCTCCAAGAACAGCATGAACACGGCACTGTGTGATCAACACGGGCTGCACTTCTAAGACATTCTCATAGACCCTTTAAAGAACATCTTCCCCCCACTTGTTCTCTAAAGCAGGGGGGTTTTATAACTGTAATTTTCATTTTATCGCTAAATTTGAAAATATATTAGATTAATAAAATCTGTTTTAATCAGAAGTTCAATTCCTATACTGGATTTTAAATATTTTATTCAGGTCTTTGCCATCTGATTTTCAAATGAAAATAGGTATTCAGTGTGTCACCTTTAAATATTCCCTGGTCTGATGTTACCATCTTTTGCTATACAAGTTTAACAAAAAGTCAGGTTGTAAGCTATGTAGACATTTTCTGAATGTGTTGCCATTACTTTAGAGGCAGAATCGTATGTAGATTTGTCTGGCTTTAAGCTGATTGTGTCATGAAAGCTGCTCTTGGATTTCTGACCTCCTCATTTCACTTCTCTATTGCTGGGATTATGAGCTTGCACCAGCATGCCTAGCTGGTGTACAGATCTTCTAATTACTATTCTAAGAAATTGCTATGTTGAAGCATTTTCAAAAAAAATGTTATTAGTTTTCTGCTTCTACCTATGGTCATTGTTACTTGGGATTGATGGGCATGAAGTAGAAACAAAATTAACCTACCAGGCATCTCCAGAGGCTAAATTGTGCTTTAATCAAAACAACTGAAGGGCCACAGTCTCTGCAGATGTGAAACTGTGCTCATGGAATGGGGGTCTTAAGGTTTTGTTTTGCTTTGTTTTTCTTTTTTTTATATTAATTACAGTTTATTTACTTTGTGTCCCAGCTGTAGCCCCTCTCTCATTCCCCAATCCCACCCTCCTTCCCTCATCTCCTCCTTGCCCCTCTCTAAGTCCACTTATAGGGGAGGTCCTCCTCCCCTTCCATCTGACCCTAGCTTATCAGGTCTCACCAGGGCTGACTTCAATGTCCTCCTCTGTAGCCTAGTTAGGCTGCTCCTCCCATGGGGGGCTGGGGAGGACAAGGAGCTAGCCATAGAGTTCATGCCAGAGACAGTCCCTGTTCCCCTTACTAGGAAAGCCACTTAGATACTGAGCTGCCATGGGCTACATCCAAGCAGGGGTTCTAGGTTATTTCCATGCATGGTCCCTGGTTGGAGAATCAGTCTCAGACAAGCCCCTGTGCCCAGATACATTTGGTCCTTGTGGAGCTCCTGTCCTCTCCAGGTTATATTTTTTTTTGAATTTTATTTTTTTCTTATCAGTTACATTTTATTAACTCTGTATCCCAGCCCTGTACTGATCCCTCATTCCCTCCCAGTCCCTCCCTCCCTCCCTCATCTCCACCATGCCCCTTTCCAAGTCCACTGATGGGGGGGACCTCCTCCCCATTCATCTGATCCTGTTTTATCAGGTATCTTCAGGACTGGCTGCAAAGCTCTCCTCTGTGGCCTAACAGGACTGCTCCTCCCTTGGGGGGTGGGGAGGCCAAAGAGCCAGTCATTGAGTTCCTGTTAGAAATAGTCCTTGTTCCCCTCACTATGGGAAACCAATTGGTTACTGGGCTACCACAGGCTACATCTGAGCAGAGGTTCTAGGTTATATCCATACATGGTCCTTGGCTGAATGTCAGTCTCTGAAAAGATCCTGTGCCCAGATATATTTGGTCCTTGTGGAGCTCCTATCCTTTCCCCATCAGACTAACTCCCCTTCTTTCTTATGATTCCCTGTACTCTGCCAAAGGTTTGGTCATGAGTCTTTGCTTTGAAAACCCTGCTAGTTAGAGTCTTTCAGATGCGCTCAGTAGACTCCTGTCATATGTTCAATGTACATCCCATCTGTCTTTCTAAACGAGGATTGATCATCTTACCCCATGTCCGCTCTCTTGATTATCTTTTTTATCTTTTATAGATTTCATTATGTTTATCATATCTTATAGGTCTATATAATTGAGTATATACCGTGTTTGTCTTTCTCCTTCTGGGATATTTCACTCAGAATGATCTTTTCTAGATCCCACCATTTGCCTGCAAATTTCATGATTTCCTCCTTTTTGATTGCTGAGTAGTATTCCATTGTGTAGAAATACCACAATTTCTGTACCCATTCCTCCCTTGATGGACATCTGGGTTGTTTCCAGGTTCTGGCTATTACAAATAAAGCTGCTATAAACATGGTTGAGCAAATATCCCTTTTGTGTACTTGAGCAAACTTTGGGTATATACCTAGCAGTGGTATAGCTGGGTCTTGAGGAAGCAATATTCCTAATTGTTTTAGAAAGCACCAGATAGATTTCCAGAGTGGTTGTACTAGTTTACATTCCCACCAGCAGTGGAGGAGGGTTCTTCTTTCTCCACAACCTCTCCAGCATGTGTTGTCCCTTGAGTTTTTCATGTTGGCCATTCTGATGGGTGTAAGGTGATATCTCAGTTGTTTTGATTTGCATTTCCCTGATGGCTAATGAGAGTGAGCATTTCTTTAAGTGTTTCTCAGCCATTCGATATTCCTCTGTCGAGAATTCTTTGTTTAGCTCTGTACCCCATTTTTTAATTGGATTACTTGGTTTGCTGCTTTTCAGCTTCTTTAGTTCTTTGTATATAGTGGATATTAGTCCTCTGTCAGATAAAGGGTTAGTGAAGATTCTTTCCCAATCTGTAGGCAGTCATAAAATATATGGAACGCCTCACGAATTTGCGTGTCATCCTTGCGCAGGGGCCATGCTAATCTTCTCTGTATCGTTCCAATTTTAGTATATGTGCTGCAGAAGCGAGCACCTCTCCAGGTTATATTAACTCTCTCTTCTTTCATATGATTCCCTGAACTCTGCCCAAGGTTTGGTTATGAGTCTCAGCATCTGCTTTGATACACTGCTATGTAAAGTCTTTCAGAGGCCTTCTGTGGTAGGCTCCTATCCTGCTTCTTGTTTTCTCCTACTTCCAATGTCCATCCTATTTGTCTTTCTAAGTAAGGATTGATCTTCTTACCCTGTTTTATGAAATGGAAAAGAGGGAAGATTGGGCATGGAAGAGTCCATCTGCAGGTCAGGTCCCTGCAGTCAGAGGTGGTTGACACTAGAGGGGTTGGTATGTGGTTCTCCTCATCAGAAGCTTCCACAGGTGTTGTCAGTCAAGGCAACTTTCCTGTCCAGAGCTTCTCAGTCCACTGAGGCTTTTTGGTAATTAATACCTATAACCACCTCCTTAAAACATTATCACTGTAAATTATTTTCTAGAGGTATAAGATTAAATCAGGAGTTAATCTGGTCTTAAAACTAATGAAACTAAGTTTAAAACTGAATTGCGCATGTTGATTTAAGCTTTGCTTTTATACTACACTTGTGACATTTTTATACTTGGATAAGTAAAAGTTTATTTTTTTCCCCTAGGACCAAATTCTTTCTTTATCTGGAAGGGTAAAGCATTTGCAAATGTTCAGAAATGATAATAAAAAGGTCACAGGTAGTCTTGGCTGAACAATTCAAGATGACCTTATACTTTTGTGTGATAAAGTCTGACTGCTAGGAAATCTAGAACCAAAAAGTCATTTCTAGAGTTTCTTGAGCTCGTTAAAACTGTGGGACATGAAGAAGACTTCCCATGGCAAGTTCCCACAGCCTTTGAAATATGTGATCTTCCCATTTACCTTGTCTATGGAGTCAATATTACCTGTACCGTTTAAATTAATATGGACACTATTCTTTGGTTCTATTTGTAATACTTTAGAAATTCAAAACTTTATTTTTTGTTGTTGTTATTATCACTGTTATTTTATTTTATGTATGTGAATGCTTTGTCTACATGTGTGCATGTGTACCACATGTGTGTCTAGTGCCAGCAGTGGTCAGAAGAGGGTATCAGATCCCCTGAAACTGGAATTAAGGATGGTTGTGAACAACAATGTGAGTTCTGGAAACCAAACTGAGTTTCTCAGAAGGAGTAATAAATACTCATAA